TTCATGGCAGCACTGTTCCCAGCAGCCAAGACTGGAAATAACCTAAATGTCCATTGACAGATGAGTGGGTAAAGATGTGGTGTGTGTCTGTGTGTGTATACGTACATACAGTGGAATGTTATTCAGCCGTAAAAAGAAGGTAATAATGCCATCTGCAGCATCGTGGATGTGACTAGAGATTAACATACTAAGTAAAGTAAGTCAAAAAGAGAAAGACAAATGTCATATGATACCACTTTGATGTGAAATCTAAAATAGAGCACAAATGAACTGATATACAAAATAGCAGCAGACTCATAGAGAACAGACTTGTGGATGCCAAGGGGAGGAGGATGTGGGAGGGAAGGACTGGGAGTTTGGAATTAGCAGATGTAAACTGTTATATATAGGATGGATAAACAACAAGGTCCTACTGTATAGCACAGGGAACTATATTCCACATCCTATAATAAACCATAGTGGAAGAGAATATTATAAAAGAATGTCTGTGTGTGTATAACTCAGTCACTTTCCTGTACATCAGAGATTAGCACAACACTGTAAATCAGCTATACTTCAATTAAAAAAACAATCTTTCTTGTAGTCACAGTAAAAAATAAACAGAAGCAGATTAATTTTAATAAATATTTTACTTGACCCAGTATACCCAAAATCTTATTATTTCAATATGTGTTGTTGTTGCTCAGTTGTGTCTGACTCTTTGCGATCCCATGGACTGTAGCACACCAGCCTTCCCTGTCCTTCACTATCTCCTGGAGTTTGCTCAAACTCTTGTCCATTGAGTCAGTGGTTGCATCCAACCATCTCATCCTCTGACATCCCCTTCTCCTCCTGCCTTCAGTCTTTCCCAGCATCAGGGTCTTTTCCAGTGAGTTGGCTCTTCAAATCAGGTGGCCAAAGTATTGAAGCTTCAGCTTCAGCATCAGTCCTTCCAATGAATATTCATGGTTGATTTCCTTTAGGATTGACTAGTTGGATCTCCTTGCCGTCCAAGGGACTCTCAGGAGTCTTCTCCAACACCACAGTTTGAAAGCATCAATTCTTTGGCGATCAACTTTCTTTATGGTCCAGCTGTCACATCCGTACATCTCACATTTCCACATGTTATGAGTATACCTCAATTAAATTATTGAGGTATCATATGTATATATGTATGTCTGTATATATATAAATATTTTATAGTAAATATTCTGGTGTGTATTTTATATAAATAGCACATCACAATTCAAACTAGCCACATTTTAAACACTGAACATCTGTTTGTAGATAGTGCCAATAATATCAGGCAGAGAAGTCATAGACAAGTCACCAAAAACCAAAGATTTTAAAGCAGACGGGAAAAAACCATGTTATATACATAGAATCGATATCTGAATGTCCACTGGCTCCTCATTAGAGACATCAGTGGCCAGAAAACAATAATGATGTTTTATATGCTGAAAGAAAAACACTGTCAACCCCAAATTCTATGAACAATGAAAATATTCTTCAAGAATGAAGGTAAAATAAAGGCATTTTCAGATAAAAGAAAACAAAGCTAATTCATCATCAGCAGTTCTGCAGTATAAGATATGCTAAAGGAAGTTTTTCAAGTTAAAGGGAAATAATGCCAGATGTAATCTTAAGAAGGAAATTAAGAGTATTAAAAGTGGTGGCTGTCTGGATAAATATTTGTATTATAGAAATATATAACTAATTTTTTGTAGTCAGCTTCTTTGATATGCATATGATTATTTAAAGCAAAAATATAATGTTGTGTTATGGAGTTTATCATGTAAGTGGATGTAATGTATATGACAACTGTGAATATAGAATTCACTAAGGTCTGGACTGGAAAAGTTTTGTCCCCAGGGATGCCTGGATGGCTGTTTTTTGATTCCTGGCCAAGATAAGGGCGATGGATGTGCTCTCGTTTTATTCTATCTTTTATAGTCTTCTTTCTCTCTCTGACTGCATGGCACCTTTGCTGCTGCATGGACTTTGCTCCAGCTGTGGAGTGTCGGGGCTGCCCTCCAGCTGCAGGCTTCCCTTGCTGCACAGCCCCGGCTCTAAGGCGTGAGGGCTTCAGTAGTTACAGCGTGTGGGCTCAGGAATTGCAGCTCCTAGGTTCCGGAGCACAGGTTCAATAGTTGTGCACAAGCTTAGTTGCTCTTAGGCATGTGGGAGCTTCCTGGCTCAGGGACTGAACCTGTGTCTCCTGCATTGGCAGGCAGATGGTTTACCACTGAGCAACCAGGGAAGCCCTGCATGTACTCTTTACATGCCACTGACCACCCTCAGTGTCATCTTCACTTGATCTGCACCTGGCTTATATGGTATGTCAAGCCTTGCTTGATGCATAAAAAGCCCTGCTGAGCGTTTCTCCTTTGAGCACCCCCAAACCAAGAATTCTCATCTATTAATAGATCCAGTGGCACAGCATGGTCTGTGCATGCAAATAAGGAGACTCATGAAGCATCTCTGACTTCCAGAACTTTCCTACACAGTTTTTATTTTGCTGCATTGTACCCTTTGGGCTTCCCATGTGACTCAGTGGTAAAGAATTCACCTGCCAGTTCAGGAGATGCAGGTTTGATCCCTGGGTCAGGAATATTCCCTGAAGAAGGAAATGGCAACCCTCTTCAGTATTCTCGCCTGGGAAATTCCATGGACAGAGGAACCTGACAGGGGGGCAGAGGAGCCGTGTGGTTGTGAAAGAGTCAACTTGACAACTAAATAACAGCTACAACAAAATTGTACTGTTTGCTTTCCATGAGCAGTCTCAGAGTGACCTGATGAGTCCTGTCAACTTTATGATCTGGGAATGTCTTTGGAATAACTTTGTAACAACTACAGCATGAAGAAGAACCATATGTTTGCAAGGTTTTTACCTTCTGTGTGAAATCATATATTAACTCTAAATATGCTGTGAAGAACTAAGGATATATATTATTATTCTCAGCAGCCACCAAAAATGAAAAGCTAAGAAGTGAATATGTAAATTAAAGTGGAATCTTAAAAAATGTCAAAACAAACATATACCCTGTAAAAAATGTAAGCTTAATGAAGGATATAAGTGGTAGATTGCCATTCTGTCCCTCTCTAAAATATAAAAGAATAATCTGGGACAGCTTGTTGTTTTCTTCCAGATGCTTTTGTATGCACCTATGCATATACAGATAAAAAACTTTTCAACACATATTGACTGGGAGCTTGCATTTTCATATGAATCGATAATATATCACAGTCAAATTCCAGTGTCAGGCATACAAATCTACCTCATTCTGTTTAATGGCTTTATAACATTTCATGGGCTAAATGCAGTATAAATTGCTTATCTGTTCCTTTATTGATAGATAATGTAGGTTGTCTTGAAAATTTCACCATTGTATTAGTTTCCATTGTTGCCATGACAAATTATAACAAATCCAGTGGCTAAAACAACATAAATTTGTTCTCCTATAGTTGTGGAGGTCAGAAGTGTGAAATCGGTTTCACTGACTTAAGGCCAAGTTCTCAGCAGGGCTGATTCTTTCTGCCTTGGCTTTAGGGCGAGAGGTGGGGAGTTTGTTTCCTGGTCTTGTTTTCATCTTCTAGTGGTCCCCTGTCTTCCTTGGTCTGTGGCCCTTTCAAGCATCTTTAAAGCGTATCATTTCAGTCTCTGCTTCCATCATTTCATAGCCTTCTCTTCTAGCTCCTTCTGTATCCTTCTTACAAGGACTGTTATGATTACACCAGAGCTCTCTGATAATAATCCAGAACACTCGCTCCCTCCACTCAAAACCCTTTCAACAGATCCTCAAAGTCCCATTTTTCATAGGTACAATGTTTACAGGTCTATTATTCAACCTACCATAACCAGTAACTTACAAGTAATGTTTTAGTGAACATCTGTGAGCAGATATCCCTACCCAGTTGTGTGATTATTCCTTGTAGTAGAATCCTAGAAGTAGAAATGCAAAGTCAAAGTGATGTACCTTTTACATTTTCACAAATTCTAAAACTACCCACTAAGCCTTGTACTGTTTGTCACTCCCTTCAGCCCTCATAAAAAAATTGGTGTCTGCCTTCTTACATTTTGTGTTTGACTGAGAGTCTCTTGGAAAATCTTACCTTCTCAGCATTTCCCTTTTGCACCTGTGTAGTACTTTAGTTCTAATTTTTTCTAGTCAACGGAACCCATCTGACAATATAGCTCAGAGATCTGTCTACCTGAATTCACTTAGGAGCTCCACCACGCGAACAGCAGTAGCTAGGAAAGACTTTGTAACCTTTCTGTTTCTTTATCTGCAAAATTATTTAATTATTGTGTCTTCCTAATAGAATATCTGTGAAACTTAAATTGGCTACTGTATAAAAAGTTTCTATCATAGCCTCTAACATCTTTGTGACCCCATGGACTATAGCCCACCAGGCTCCTCTGTCCATGGAATTCTCCAGGCAAGAACACTGGAGTAGGTAGCTATTTGTCTTCTCCCGGGAATCTTTCTGACCAGGGATCCAACCCTGGTCTCCTGCACTGCAGGCTGATTTTTTACCATCTGAGCCACAAGGGAAGTCCATCAATAGACATTAACCAATATTATTTTTATTACTTGCTTTATGTCTCAGAAATTCCTTTTTATTTATGTTCTACTACTGATATTTCTCCTAGTTTTCCAGCACTGCTCTAAACGTACTCTGATTTTTTTCCTTTCATTTAATTTGGATTTTCAGTTGGAAGGAGGAGGTAAATGGACTCTGACAGATCTCAGGATGCAATATAAATTCCCTCTCGGCAGGAAATTTGCCCTTTTTTCCCATACCCTTACAAACATGCCATGTGTCTTTGCTCCAAGTGGTTACTCGATAAATATTTGTTTGTTAGTTGATGGGTGGTTCCGAAAGTAACATTGCTTTGACATGTTTAGAATCCTGAGACATTTTCAGAATAGTTGCTGCACATCGCAGTGTCGCCTTCTTACCAAGTCTTCCGGGGAGAAGATGCTCCTGGGTAAACGGGAATGGGTTTGCCATTACAGGAGTCAGTGACGTTTAGGGATGTTGCTGTGGTCTTCAGCCGGGACGAGTGGTTGCACCTGGATGCTGCCCAGAGACGCCTGTACCGGGAGGTGATGCTGGAGAACTACAGCACCCTGGTCTCGCTGGGTAAGGAGGCTTGCCTGTCACGGAGAATCTGCTGTGGGAGGACTTAGAGCTCCCTTGGAGGTTCACAGTCTGAGGTTTGTCCTCTGCCCTGGAAAAGGACAAATCTCCGTAGAATTAAAAGTGCACCTGTTAGTTTTGATGCCCTTCATGCTGCGCTTTGTCCTCTGCCCTCCTCCCACCCCACCTCCTTAATACTTCCCTCCTGCTCCAATGACTGGAACCCAGTTTAGATTCTGAAAAACGCATAGGACTCCTATCTTCATGGTGTTCATTGACAGGGCCCCATATTGTTTCTGAACCAAGACCCACCTCCTGCTCCATCCCCGTGAAGGCCTCAGTCCCTCTCAAGAGAGCTTATTCTGCCTACTTTGCCTCTCTAGACTTGTCTTATCTGCCCTGTAGGTTCTGGTTTGTGAGTTTGGGGCTTGCTTTTCATGCCGTTTGTTCAAACTCCATTTCCTTCCTGATGAGCAGGGATTCCATTTTCAATGCCAAAGTTGATCTGCCAGTTGCAGCAAGGAGAAGATCCCTGCATGGTGGAAAGAGAAATCCCTCAAGATGCCTGCCTTGGTGAGTAAGTGACTGGGGGATGAGCACAAGTGTCTTTATACATAAGCAGGTTGTGAGGAGTGTTCGAAAACTCTCCTGGAAATTCTGAGCCCTATTGAAATGCTCAGGACCACCTGACAAGCCTCCTTGGTTGTAATGGTTTTCTTTCATCAAGAAGGTCCTTGTCTTGACATTTTCCTTCTCATACCACTCCCTGCATTCTCTTTCCCTGCCCCCTCCCACCTTTTTTTTTGCAGCCTCACTCACTTCCTTCTATCACCTCTTGATCTTCATGTTATTTATTTTTCCATCTGCATTTACACATGTTCATGTCTGAAAGATTTTTAACACTTTACACCTTCTGCCATATTTTGAATTTTTTAAATAATTTTTTCATGTCTTTTTTACCATCCACGTATTTCAAAGTATTATTAACATTCCTTTGTCTCTGATTTCTTATTTTCTTGGTGACTAGATTGTCATGCCCCACTATTACATATTCAGTCAGCTGTTATTAACATTACCATTGTAGCCTTTCTAGTCCAGGGATCAGCAAGCGAGTTTTTCCTGGTGGGCTACAGTGCATGGAGTCACAAAGAGTCGAACATGACTGATCACACAGCACCACCACCACCAGGTAGCACAGTATAGCATTAAAGATCATGGTTTGAATTTAGACATTCCGAATTTTGCTTTACCCTTACCACTTCTTACATGAGCTATAGGAAAGTTACCTACCTTCTCTGAGCTTCTTTTTTCTCACTGATTTTCCATGCCATGAGCACAGTGATCTTTTTGAAACTCAGGTATTTATCCTGTACCTTAAGAGACTTCATTGTTTCTCCATTATCCATGGGGTAAAGAAAGATCCCTTAGTATGACATTAAACCTACATCTTAGCCTGTCTTCCTATGCCTTTATGGTCTCATCAGTGGCCACTTCCTCTTCATCTCAGTGTTCCTGGCTACATCTGCATACTCACTATCATTTGTGTGTTATTCCTTCAGCTTGAATCACCTCTTCTACCTTGTCCATTGGTAAACTGTTTATCTTTCAAGATCCATTTGTCCACCTAATATGCCACTCTTATCTGTAGATTTTTCTTATCTTTCCTACTTTCCTCAATTGTTTACTTGCTCAGTCGTGTCCAACTCTTTGCAACACTGTGGACTGTAGCCTGCCAGGCTCTTCTGTCCATGGAATTTTCCAGGCAAGAATAATAGAGTGGGTTGCCATTTCATACTCCAGGGCATCTTCACAACCCAGGGATTGAACCCTTGCATTTTCTGCATTGGCAGGCAGAGTCTTTACCACCTGGGAAGCCCTCCTACTTCCCAGTCAGAATTAATTTTTCCATCATTCATACAGTGCTTTCTACATAGTCAAAGTACATTCATTATTGTATCTATCACAATGAATTGTAGTTATGTTTGTTAATTATTTTTCTAATAAGATTGTCCATATTTAAGGGAGAGGCCAGATCTTTCAATTCTGTTCCTCAAGCATCTGATATATTAGATTTAGTAATATTTTAAAAAGATTTTAAATTCTGTTTTAATTGAATTAAATTACGTCTCTGATTAACTCAGTGCTAATGAGGCTCAAGTTACTCAATTCAGCCAGACCACTGCAACTACATTATTTTTCAGATTCCATTCTGTCCTTCTTCTGATTCAAGCTGCCTATTTTACTAAATATAAACATTTTTGCCTTATTATTATCTAAGAATTTATAGCACCTTCTATTATCTGTATTATTGTCAATTTTTCTAATAGTTATTTAGTAACTGTATATTTGGCCTTACTGTGCTTAACCAAAATTTTAACTAGTTCCAACTCAAATTCCCTTTAGTCAATAAGCCTCCCCTAAATAGGTTTACTTTCCCCACAGATGACTTTAACAGGCCTTCTTTTTGACTCACAGTATCCTTTTTTCTTTGTCTATTGAAATCCAACCCACCTCTGTTGTCTTTCTTCCATTCTTTACCAATATTGTTGATATTTGTATCCTCATTTTCTGAACCTCAAATTTGAATTATGCAGTTGAGTCTTCTCAGATTATGGAGAAATGAACTATTACTGTTTGGCCATTTATTTTTTTCCTATTATCATTGCTAATTATTCAGTATTTGTTCAATAAACAACTGAGTCTCAGGAGTCCAGTAAGAGAGGAGAGGTCTCTTTTCATTTTCAAGGTTACCTGCCCTTCATAATAATTTTTCCAACTTGGTCACTCTGCTCATTCATTCTTTATTTTTTTTATCTAAGACATTCGAATTGTGTACTTCTCTTGTACACAATAAAGAATTAACAAACCATTGTAAGACATAGCTACTGCTCTCTTTGAACAAATAACTTTGAATTATTTTCACAAACTTTATATATGTAAGTTAAGCGATTGAATGTTTTGAAAATATGTTTTGAAATTTGAAGAAAGAGGTGGATTATTTAGGCTGAAATAATTGAGCTTTTGTAAAGAAATAAGATTAGAGTAGTAGGGTAAGTTTCTAAATGGACAGGGAAGGTCATATTGTGAGAAAGAGTAAAAAGAGAGAAGGTACCTGGTTGATCCTTGAAAATCTAAACTGCTAGCTTTCCCATGGATACCATTAAGAAAGATCTATATTCTTATACAGGTTTATAGCCTATATTTCTTATTCTTATTTAATTTCAATAAAATATTTTTATTACTAAAACCAGATGAATTTTATTAACATAGATAGTCTATATTTTATTTAATTTGTATAGTTTATTTAAGTACATACAGTTACCTAATTAGTGATCTAACTTTAATCTATTTTCAATCATGGATTGATAAAAGTAAGCCAGGTTTTAACTCAGGGTTTCTTAGAATCAGCTCAAGCTAAATCTTTTCACTTTAGAATCAGATCTGAGCTTGGAGCTTGGGCATACTTCAGAACTTCACATCTCCTGTAGACTTTTGTTAGTCTCAGAAGATCCCTGCCTTTACTTCTCTCAGGTGGCAAAATCTTTGTTGTCACTGTTAATTTGTCCACTATATTCTCCCACACTACTCCTGTTTACTTCTCCTTCCATTCTATCCTGTTTTTCTCTAGATTCAAGTTCACATTTGAAATTATATGGTATCAAACTCTCTTCTAGCAGAGAAGCCATGATTCTGATTTATTCCAGGTTTTAAGACATGGCCTGAAATAGAAGCATTGCCTTGCAAACAGGACGTTTCTACAGGAGAAACATCTCAAGGAATAATAATGAAAAACTCCATTAAGTTGGACGTCAAGTGTGGAGAAGCTTTGGAATTTGAGGGCAGAACACAACAAGAGCAACAGGAAAACACTCTCAGGCAAATGGTAGCCTCACAGAAGAAAACCATCAGTGGAGCTGGGAGCCGGACAAGCCTTGAATTAGGGAAAGGCTTATTTATAAACACAGTTCTTATTAGACGACAGAATGTTCCTATGGAAAGAGTACCCAGTATATATTATTCTTTTGGGAGAGATTTTAAACAGAATATTGATCTAATGAGATGTTTCCAGATTTACCCAGGAGAAAAACCTCATATTTACAATGAATGTGAAAAAAGCTTCAGTCAGAGTCTTCATCTTACTGAAGGCCAGAGAATTCATACTGGTGAGAAACCTTACAAATGTAATGAGTGTGGGAAGACCTTCAGTCACAGATCATCACTTCTTGCCCATCAGAGAATTCATACTGGGGAGAAACCTTACAGATGTAATCAATGTGAGAAAGCATTTAGTAGCAGTTCAACCCTTATCAAACATTTGAGAGTGCATACTGGAGAGAAACCCTATCAGTGTAAGGACTGTGGTAAAGCTTTTAGCCAGTGTTCCACCCTCACTGTACATCAGAGGATTCATACCGGAGAAAAACTCTATAAATGTGGAGAATGTGAGAAGGCCTTCAATTGTAGAGCAAAGCTTCATAGACACCAACAAATCCATACAGGTGAGAAACCCTATAAATGTCATGAATGTGGGAAAAGTTACAGCCAGTTTACATCTCTGGTTGAACATCAGAGGCTTCATACTGGAGAACAACTGTGTAAATGCTTGGAATGTGGGAGAAATTTCACTCGCATCTCAACCTTTATTGAACATCAGCGGATTCATACTGGACAAAAACCATATCAATGTAATGAATGTGGGAAATCCTTCAACCAGTATTCATCCTTTAATGACCATCGGAAAATCCATACTGGAGAAAAACTTTACACATGTGGAGAATGTGGGAAAGCCTTTGGTTGCAAATCTAACCTTTATAGGCATCAGAGAATCCATACTGGAGAGAAACCATATCAATGTAATCAGTGTGGAAAAGCTTTCAGCCAGTATTCATTCTTAACTGAACATGAGAGAATCCATACTGGAGAGAAACTCTATAAATGTATGGAATGTGGGAAAGCCTACAGTTACAGATCAAACCTTTGTAGACACAAAAAAGTTCACAATAAAGAAAAACTCTATAAATGGAAAGAATATGGGATCAGAGATTTCTTAGAGGAGATAAGCCCTATGACGTTTAATTCATCTCTGAAATAATTTAAGGGTTCTCATTGGAGAATAATCAGCAGAATAATAAATAGGGCACAGGCTTCTGGTAGATCAAGCCTTTTTTTTACTTCTCTTAGAGAAAATATGCTAGTTATCACTAAGTAATGGTAAAAGTGACCAACGAATATTAAGAGCACTGCCTTGTCAAATTTTATAAGAACCAGTAAAGTTAAGATTTCTAAAAACATAAAATTTTAAATTCACAGAAAATTGTAAAAGACCTAACTTTGAAAACAATGGAATATAACTTTTATTTCTTTCATTAGACTTAGTTGCCTTTCTAACAGTAAGTTTCAATATGAATTTTCTTTTAAAGGCAGTCACTGAGTTAATAGTGTGAATAAATGTGGGGCCTTATTTTCTAAAATGGCAGGTAGGTATAGGATATGCTCTCTTTCATAAAGAGAAGCTAAAGATAAAAAGAAATTCTTTAAATTTAGATTTTCACATGGAAATAATTAAGCTCATTTTTTGTGAACTGCCTCACCAGCAATTTATATTTATAAATATACATGTATGTATGTGTGTGTTAGTTGCTCAGTCATGTCTGACTCTTTGCAACCCTGTAGACTATAGCCCGCCAGGCTCCTCTGTCCATGGAATTCTCCAGGCAAGAATACTGGAGTGGGTAGCCATTCCCTTCTCCAGAGGATCTTCCTGATCCAGGGATCAAACCTGGGTCTCCTGCTTTGCAAGCAGATTCTTTACTGTAGCCTGAGCCACCAGTGATAGACATAAATGTGTGTATGTATTCATGTGTATGTATTCATATACACAGAGAGAGAATTTTGGACTGTATTTTTTCAAAATTCTTTGATGATTAAAAAATTTGGTTTTATTAATTTAGAATTTAGTTTTGAAAATTAAAATTTTGCCCAATGGTGTCTCTTCCTTTTCTTTTCTTTTCTTTTCTTACATCATTTGTTAACATGATATGATTCTACATTGCTGAACAGAGTCTTAGAGAAGTTGGTGTAAACTGAAGCAAGTGAGAGACTATCATGCAAATACTGTCTTGTATGTTGCAAAAGGAATATATTTCCAGACTCTGATTATATACTTGGTAGCTCATTAACACCAAGAGAGATTTTAATTTAGTTAGTTATAGTCTTTCATTTTAACTAATGAAGAAATTGAGCTTTTTGAGTACAATTAAGACTAGAATCTAGATCTTCAGCTCTAGTTGTAATAATTATAGGTTAATTTACAACCTCAGGCCCTAAGAGTCCAAGTACCAAAGCTATTTGTTTTGTAAACTGGTTAGGCACAATTGCATTAATTTAATCAGCTTTATTTTTATGTTTGATAATTCCCTCAATTTTAATCTTAATAATTGACTTAGTCATGTTTTCCTTTTTTCTTATGAGTCCCTAATTATAACTGCTTTTATAGTAACTGTACTTAAATCCTAAAACCTAGCTATGGTCCAGATAGTGAAATTACATTTGGGTGTTTCACATATAAAATTGCCTTTTTGTTTATTTTTGTTACACATCTTTTAGGACTTCTTTTATGTAAAGTGATATATGAGTATTTTATTATTAAACATTCTAATTATTGGTATAAACTGGTTATCCAAACATGTTACATGTTTTGCAGAAAGATTTCATTTTCCCCTGGGTCTACTTCCTTCAGTTTTATATTTACTTTCACAATGGATATCATTCAAAAGAACTGTTCTATTAATATGAAAATTAGCTAGAACCCTCTGAGACATCTAAACTGTATCCTGAGTTCAGAATTAAACTCAAGCATGCAGCAGTTGACTTGTCTTAGCTCATTAGAAAGTGTTTTCTGGGGGATTCCCTGCTGGTCAAGTTTTTTAGAACATGGTGTTTTCACTGCTGGGGCCCAGGTTCCTTCCCTAGTCAGGGAACTAAGATCCTTCAAGCTGGGTGTCATGGTCAAAGAAGGCGGAGTGAGGTGGGGGGTGTTTCTTACATATTCAAGTATGTCTATAAGGAAAATGGGGCTTCCCAGCTGGCACTAGTAAAGAACCTGCCTGCCAATGCAGGAGACCTATGAGATGTTCCCTGAGTTCGATCCCTGGGTTGGGAAGATTCCCTGGAGAAGGGCATGGCAACCCACTCCAGCATTCTTGCCTGGAGAATCTGATGGACAAAGGAGCCTGGTGGGTTACAGTCCATAGAGTCACAAAGAGTCAGACATGACTGAAGGAACTTAGCACTTAAGGAAAATGAAGCTTTTAGACCTCAGTTTTTAACATCATACAGAGCCATTTGCAAGATATTCTAGATAAAATCACATTTGATTACCCAATAGCAGTATCCACACATTATGCAGATTTTGGTCTCTAAATGCTATTCCTCACTAAAAGGAAGTAGGGTTCCTTGGAGAAATGGCTGATTCCATATGTTTGGAATGGGGGAAATATAAGATATGCCTGGAATACTAACTCAAAGACTAAAGGGATAATGTCAGAAGGATGTGAGGGCCAATTTAAAGGAGCCCCCACTGGTCAAATTTAGGACAATTTGAACATCAAAAAGAATAATCACAGTAATTGGTTATAATGCACTAAATAAAATAAAATGATCCTATAAAGGAAAAACAGAGAAAAATAGAAAAGCTCTTTATATACTTATTTGGAGAATGTCATCTCTTCATTGTATGTGGAGTGATAGATTTAGAAAAATCACCATTTTACAGCCCTTCATGTAATTAAATTAGGCACATTCAATGGATGGGAAAACCCTATTATTTGGGAAAAAAATTAACAAGCATTATTTACACAGTGTCAAGATCACAGATACCCATGACAGAGGAAAGATATTCCTTTATAATGGAGAAATCTGGCTATTAAACTGAGTTTCTCTACCAGTGGAACAAGCTGACGTGTGACTGTTGATGAGATGCAATATAGAGTACACATGATCATCCTGTGATGTATTCTTGCCAAAAAAAAAAGGAACTCTAATTAAATCTCTTATCTAGACTTATCTTCCTGTTTATAAGAAATACAAGGAATAGAGGAACAAACTGAATTACATAGTGAAGAATTAGACAAGTCTAGAGTTTGAGTTATTGTACAAGATAGCTTGTCTGGACTTTTCAAGAAACCAATATAATAAAACAAGGAGTGGAGTCGTCTAGATTAAGAAACTTGAGATATAACCAAATGCAAAGTGTGATTCTTATTTGGCGTCTGATTCAGAAAATCAAAACAACTGTAAGACATTTAGGGGGACATGGGGAAATACGAGGATAGAATGGGTATTAGGTTGATGTAGTATGTTTAATTTTCCTAGAGGTATGATGTTTATGATGATGTTGAAGTATGAAGGACAGTACCCTTCTTAGGAGATGCATGCCAAAGTTTTCAAATTTGAAGAGTCATGATGTTTGTAGCATATTTTAAAATAAATATGTAAAAAATTAGTCAGCTGTTGTTGAATCTTTGTGGAGGATATAGTATGTTCATTGGTCATTCTGTAAACTTCTCTGTGTTAAAAAATTTTAATAAAAAATTGAAGCAAAAATTTGGTAAAGTGATGCGTATGAAGCTTCCAGTCAGTATTCTTCCTTTATACTCATAAATTTCTGGTTTGAGAGTTTATCCTATATGGATGTGATCATTGGAAATAACTTAAGCATTGTTAGTTCTGGTTCCTCTTATAGAATAAGCACACAACACCTTATATCTCCTACTAAATATGACTAAATTTCCCAGAGAGTGCATGGAACAGTGGCCTGAGGATCCTGAAAAGCAATGATGTCAGCAGCCAGATTTGGGAAGGAAACAAGATTTTTGAAATAAGACCAGTCTGTTACTCTCAGGCATGTCATGCTGAGGACACTGGTGGTTGGGCAGACATCTGAACCTCTCAGAGAGGACAGCACTTATCTCTGGCCAGAGAACTGTTGGAAGAATCCTCATTGCTTTTCGTCTCTCACTGTTTGCTGCTTGGACCTGGAGGTGGGTGTGTCCATTAGGTGTGTAGCAGAGAGGAGAATCTGAAGCCTTGGTGTTTTAATCAAAAGACCAGAAGAGGAGTGGGCCGTGGGAGCTGGAATGTGTCAGGCTGGTGACAGAAAAGGAAACTCAGGAAAGGAATTTCATAAGGTTGTGTATATAATCCCAGACTCATCCCTCATCTCAATCCAGAATCTCATAATATAATGTAGAATTGCACAAAGTGTAGAAATTAGGGCAATCTCAATAGTTCATAAGGAAAAAGACAACAGGCCCCAAGACAACGTGCCCCAGGATGACACAAATGTTGGAATTATAAAAGTAGGCATTACAACAATGTTTCAAAAAATGTGACCACTCTTGAATGGAAACTTAAAAGTTCTCAGCAGGAAAACAGGTAATACATTAGAAGGAACCAAATGGAATTTTTAAAACTAAACAATACAGTCACAAAATATACAAAAGCAAAAATCACCAGACATACTTAGCAGCAGAATAGAGATGACAGAGAAAAGAGTCCATAACGGAAGACAGACTGACACAGATCCAAACTGAACTAGAAAGGGGAAAAAGACATGATCATATCAATGGATGCAGAAAAATTTTTGACAGTATTTATGGTAAAAACTAAGAAAATCAGAAATAAAAGATAAATTAACCTAATAAAGGGCATCTACCAAAACCCCACAACTAACATCCTGCTTAATGATGATCAGCGGAATGATGTTAAGGTCAGGGACAAGTCATGATGTCCACTCTGAACACTCCTAACCAATCCTTGCTAATGCAATCAGCCAAGAACAACAAGAACAAAAAAGGTACAAAGGTACAAAAAAACAAAAAAGGAAGAAATTAAATGGCCTCTGTTTAAAGATAACATGATTGTCCTCTTAGAAAAACCCAAGGAATCAACAAAAAAAAGCTCTTAGAACTAATGAGTTTAACAAGGTCAGAAGATATTAGATTAACATGCAGAAGTTTCTGCATTTGTGTACTAGCAGTGAACAATCAGGTTTCCTGGTGGCTCAGTGGTAAAGAATCTGCTTGACAATAC